TCCCCAGCCAGCATGGCTGGCTGGGGAATTCTGGGAGTTGATGTCCACCCGTCTTAAAGTTCCCAAGGTTGAGAAACACTGCTCTAAAGGAAGCAACATTACAACATTTAGACACACATCATCTGAAAGAAAACCATTTTGGAGCCATGATGCAATTGTTGTCTAAGATTAAATGAATATTCTGCCAACTTTCTCTGAAGAGGCAAAATGATTTCACAAGGCTTCAAGAAGGAAGTTAAAATACGATTCTCAACATTTAGATCCTACTTGCCCTAGTAAGTTACCTCCAAACATAAAGGTGGGATAGGTAAGAAGGCAAGATACAAATAAATAAATAAAAACGGGATAAAAGTTTTAATTCTATCAATACAATGCAAGGTATCAATGCATTATATTTGTTTAGGCAAAAATCAGCAATACAATATAAACCTCAGGACTCCTATCAAAGGAGTGGAAAAAAGGGGGGGGGAATCACCTGCTCATCACCCCACAAGCATCCACGATCAAAATAAATACGTTGTGTGCATGCAACTTTTAATGATCAGGAAAATTATTCCATTTTGGGGTGCACTTTTCTCCCTATGTAGCGTTTTAGAATCGGGGTCGAAAATAACTGCAATTTACCATTCGATCATGAGCAGACGGTTTAGACAGTCTTCTCCACACGCTACTTCCCCTTGTGCTCGTTCTTCTTTGGAAAGAGTGGGACATTCACACAGCATCCGCTTGATGTCACGGTGCGATTTATTCTTTTTTCTATGGAGCATGAATAGAGTTACGTTGGCAAAAGTTTTAGGAAAAGAGACCCATATTTTTTAAGAAGTATAGCAGGCCCAACCAGATTATTTTGCCCTAACCTGACTCTTATGTTAAGGGCAAACATTTCAAGAACCCCCGTAAGTTCTTCATTTAAAACTGTATTCAGTTGATACACTGCTTTTTTATTATTTTTATTAGTCAGAAATAATCACAATGGAGGGAGGTGAACTTTATTTACTCATTTACTTTAAAATAGTTCTAGGCTTGCTATGATTATAATATTTCCTAAATGGTGAATAGATTAATACACAAGCTCAAGGGGGAAAAAGTGGGTTCTGAATCTTACTTTTTAAGGGGTCGGGTATGGGTATAAAATCTTAAAAATGTTCAAAAGCTAAGAAACTAAGCAAAAATAGTGATTTTTAGCAATGTAACATGTATAGATGGAAAGAGTGAGCCCCTAATAATTTCCTGATAGATAGTACACTGACTGTAAAATTAGCCTGAAACAGATGTCTTCAAAATGGTCAATCCCAATTTAAAAATGGTTCTTTCCAGAGGGGTAAAAAGTGGAAAAGATGCTTTGGATCTGGCCCGGGTATGTTCACTGTATGTGTTGGTGGCTCCGTAACACCTCCTTAACTCAAGCATATATTTTCCTGGAACTCTGTGGCCATCACATGAACCCACGAAAAGACACAGCTACTTTAAGGAGCCATTGTCAAGCACTCATTCACACCAGATCCGAAGCATTTTCCCCACTTTGGATCTGAATGCCGCACCCCTCCAGGTCTTCCCTTTTCTCACTAGAGCATCCTGAACAAGATTGAATTGTAATGGCCCATCCCTGTTCTCACTCTGTCAGATCCAACTTTTTAGGCTTTATATACACCTGGCCTGCCACCCC